AGACGGAAAGGAGGAGCCAGGGAAAGGAAAGGGGGAAGGAAGGTGCGAGGAAAGGAGAAGGGGGTGAGAACATGCACACAAGCAAAGGACATTTGTAATCAATCCATTATTTTCATGTGTTCTAAAGCCAGTGACCACTGAAGATAATGGTATATCTGAAAAAGCCCACTCTGCAAAATTCTAAGCACAACCATCTAAATCACTTATCCCATAAAGATTCTGAAATCTCCAGCCTCTCCAGCTTCTCCCACTTCACTTGAAAATTTACTGCAATGTAATGAGAGATGTTAATGATGTGCACGATGTATAAGCAGGAAAACAGTTTTAGTTAGAAAAAAGTAGGAAATGAATCTGACATAATTTAGTCTTGGAATCATTTACAAACTTTTAATAATCTAGGATTTCCTGAAAATGTGCTATCACTGACATTGAAAGACCTACAAAAACTATAAAAGATCCGATGTAACCCCAATATCATGACCTATGTTAAGAATAAAACTGCTTTTGTGTTACAGTGCTATTTCTCCAAAACACACTGTGCAAAAATATTACAAGACAGAATATACTAGTGAGTGAAGGGGCTTTATTTAAATAAACTCTTGAAGTAAGTACCACAGCAAAATTGTTTCTAAAATATGTAACATTTAAAATAATATATACATTTTTCTTTATTTTGGGACTTTAAAGCAACCACCAGAAAAGTATTACTAAACATTCTTTCAATGACATCAATACACTGCCACTTAATAAAAATTAAAAATTTCTTGTGACTAATAAAACAGGTAATAAAAACTTAAAAGCTTGCCTCAAAGTACTAGTATGTTTGGTAAGATCTGATAAATAGCATAAATCGTTCTATAGCTCTGTTGTCATTACAATTCAGAAACTGGGAACACACAAAAAAAGAGAAAATGTGAGCCCAATATAATCACTACTAAATACTTTTTGAATTACAAATTTGTTAAAGCAAAATACCAATCATGGGCAACCCCTCAATGTTCACCATGTAAGAAATTAAGTTATAAGAAATACGCTAAGTTTGCATTTGCAACGACGTGGATGGAACTGGAGAGTGTTATGTTGAGTGAAATAAGTCAATCAGAGAAAGACATGTATCATATGACCTCACTGATATGAGGAATTCTTAATCTCAGGAAACAAACTGAGGGTTGCTGGAGTGGTGGGGGGTGGGAGGGATGGGGTGGCTGGGTGATAGACATTGGGGAGGGTATGTGCTATGGTGAGCGCTGTGAATTGTGCAAGACTGTTGAATCACAGATCTGTACTTCTGAAACAAATAATGCAA